GGGTCACTGCATGCCTCTTCGGGGCTCTCAACTCTCCCAAGCCAGTGACCACAGACTCTGCAGGTGATCAAAGCCCTTGTGTGTTTGCCTCTTTGTCCTTATTCCCCTCTCTGCAATTTCAAGCAACAAGGTCCCTCCTGCTGCTACTCAAACACTGCTTGGCCAGGGATGGAGGGGGCAGTTGACCTGGTTCTCTCCCAAGAATTCTGTGGCAGTCCCATGGCTCCCAAAGAGTTTGTGGTAGTCTCAGTGCTGGGCGCTGGGCACCAGGCATTGGGTGTGGGCCTGGGGCTATGGCCGAGTTTCTCCTGCTGGTCCCCGGGACCTGATTGTCCTGGAGTAGTCTCCTTACCTTCTGGTTTTCCAGTGTCTGCTACAATTTCTGGTCTCTTATTTTCATATATGCTAGGGTACTGTTGGCTGTTTGCTCTGTTCCTCCATAGATTGGCCAGATTTTTCTCTTGTGTGTAGGGGGAAGTGGAATCTTCTCCCTCCTAGTTTGTCGCCATCTTCCAACTCCAGAGTTCTTTACATATTTTGGAGATCAAACCTTTGTCTGAGGTATCATTGGGAAACATGTTTTCCCTACAGTTGGTTCCCTTTTCATTTTGATGATTTTTTTAGGCATGCAGAAACTTTTCAATTTGATGTAGCTTCTTGATTTAGTTTTGGAAGATTATATGTTTCTAGAAATTTGTCCATTCTTCTTGGTATGTAGTTGTTTGTAGTAATTTCTCATAACCCTTTGTATTTCTGTGGTATTAGTTGTAATTTCTCCCCTTCATTTCTGATTTTATTTATTTGGGTCCTCTCTATTTTTTTGTTGATGAGACTAGTTAAAGGTTTGTTAATTTTGTTTATCTCTTCAAAGAACCAGCTCCAGATTTATTTATATGACCCTCTGAACTGTCTTTTTTGTCTCTATGCCATTTGATTCTGATCTGATCATGTTTATTTCCTTCCTTGCACTTGCTCTGTGCCTTGCGTGTTGTTCTTCCTCTAGTTCTTGTGGATGTAGGGTTAGGTTGTTTGCGATTTTTCTTTTTAAGTAATCCTGTATTACTATGAAATTCCTTCTCAGGACTGCCTTTGCCATGACTCATAGAATTTAGGCTGTGGTGTGTTCATTTTAATTTGTTTCCAGAAACTTTTTGATTTCTTTCTTGATCTTATTGGTAACCCATTCATTATTTAATTTCAGTCTCCATGTATCTGAATGTTTTAAAGTTTGTTTTTAAGGTTTGTTCCCAGTTTCAAGCCATTGTGATCCAAGAAGATGCTTGATATGATTTCAATTTTCTTGAATATGTTGAGGCTTGCTTTTTATCCAATCATGTGATCTATCTTTGAAAATGTTCCATGTGTATTTAAAAAGAATATGTATTTTGCTTCTTTGGGATGAAAGGTTTTATATATATTAGTTATGTCCATTTGATTTAGGGCATTGTTCAATGCCACAATATCCTGGTTGATATTAAGTTTGAAAGATCTATCCATTTCTGACAGTAGGGTGTTAAAATCACTCAGTGTAAGTGTGTTGCAGTCTATATCTTTCTTGAAGTCCTCCAATATTTTTTTTATATATTTGGGTGCTCCTATGTTGACTACATATGTGTTTACATTGTTTGTGTCTTCATGACTTGTTCCCTTTAGTCTTATGAAATGTCCTTCTTTGTCTCTTTTTATGGCATTTGTTTTGAAATCTGTTTTGTCTGCTATAAGTATTCTTATTCCAGCTTTTTTTATATATTTGTTTGCTTGAAATACTTTTCCCATTCTTTCACTTTCAGTTTTTTTCTGAGGTGGGTCTCTTTGAGGCAGCATGTATACAGTTCATGTTCTCTTATCCATTCAGCTACTCTATATATTTTGTTTGGAGCATTTAATGCATTTACATTTAGGGTTATTATTGATAGGTAGTTATTTATTTCCATTTTATCCCTTTGTACCTGTGTTCCCTATCCTCTGTCTCTCTCTCTTTTTTCATCTTCTTAAAACAGTCCCTTTTGCATCTATTGCAATGCTGGTTTGGTGGAGTTGTATTCTTTAGGCCCATTTGGGACTGGAAAACTCTAGTTCACATTCTAGTTTAAATGAGAGACTTGCTGGGTAGTCTTGGTTGTAGGTCCTTGATTTTCATTACTTAGAATATTTCATGCCATTCCCACTGGCTGTAGTGTTTCTTTTGAGAAATTAGTTGATAGCTTTATCAGAACTCTCTTGTATGTTAGTAGCTGTTTCTCCTTTGCTGCTTTTAAGGCTCTCTCTTTTTCTTTAGATTTTTTTTTTTACCACTTTCATTATGACCTGTCTTGGAGTGAGCCTCTTTGTGTTCATTTAGATGGGACCCTCCATTCTTTCTGGACTTGTGTGATGTTTTCTTTTATCAGGTTTGGGAAGTTTTCTGTCATAACTTTTCAAGCTGTTTTTTTTTTTTTTTGTCCCATGCTTCTCCTTCTGGTATCCCTACAATATGGATATTGCTACATTTCATGATGTCCTGCAGCTCCCTTAAACCCTCTTTATTCTTTTTGGGTCATTTTTAAAGTACATTTTATTGATTATGCTATTACAGTTGTAACACTTTTTCTCCCCTTTATACCCCAACCACCCTGCACTCCTTCACACTTGAGCATTCCCCTCTCAGTTAATGTCCATGGGTTACACATGTAAGTTCTTTGGCATCTCTATTTCCCATACTATTCTTAACTCCCCCTGTCTATTTTATGCCTACTGATTATGCTTCTTATTCCATGTACCTTTACCTCCCATTTTCCCCCTCTCCCTTCCCACTGATAACCCTCCATGTGATCTACATTTATGTGATTCTGTTACTGTTCTAGTTGTCTGCTTACTTTTTTTTTAGTTTCAGTTATTGATAGTTATGAGTTTGTTGTCATTTTTATTGTTCATGGTTGCTAATCTTCTTCTATTTCTTAGATAAATTCCTTTAACATTTCGTATAATAAGGGGTTGGTAATAATGAACTCCTTTACTTTACCTTATCTAGGAAGCACCTCATCTGACCTTTCATTCTAAGTGATTCCTTTGCTGGATATAGTCATCTTGGATGTAGATCCTTGCCTTTCACAACTTCAAATACTTCTTTCAGCCCTTTCTTGCCTGTGAGTTTCTTTTTGAGAAATCAGCTGATAGTCTTTTGGGAACTCCTTTGTAGGAAACTGTCTAGTTTTCTCTTGCTGCTTTTAAGATTCTTCTCTTATCTTTATCTTCAGTAACTTAATGATGATGTGCCTTGTTGTGTTCCCCCTTGGGCCCAGCTTCTTTGGGAGTCTCTGAGCTTCCTAAACTTTCTGGAAGTCTATTTCCTTTGCCAGATTGGGGAAATTCTCCTTCATTATTTGTTCAAATAAGTTTTCAATTTGTTGCTCTTCCTCTTCTCCTTCTTGCCCCCCTGTCATTTGGAGGTTGGAGTTCTTAAAGTTGTCCCAGGGGTTCTTCAGCTTCTCATTTTTTGAATTCTTGTTGCTTCATTCTGTTCTGGTTAAATATTTATTCCTTCTGCTCAAAATTGTTGATTTGAGTACTGGTTTCCTTCCGTTCACTGTTTATTCCCTGTATATTTTGCTTTATTTCATTTTGGGTAGCCTTCATTTCTTCCTTCGTTTTGAGCCTGAGCTCAATTAATTCTGTGAGTTCAAACCAAAGAACTCTGTATCAGATAGTCTGTCTGTTGCTTAGCTCTTTTTCTCAAGTTTTAATCTCTTTTTTTCACTTGGGCCATATTTATTTGTCTTGGAGCACCTGTTATGTTGTAAGGAGGTAGAGCCTTAGGTATTCACCAGAGCTGGGCAACCCAGGTCACTGTTTTGTGGCATTGTCTGTCAGGGAGGGGTCATAGGGAATAATTCTCCTCATTCTCTCTGCTCTAGCCCTACTTTCCAATGAATTCTTCTTAGGAACTGGAAGTTTCTCCCACTTTCACAATTCCCCACAGTGTTTTACAGCGAGAGGTTTTGAGTGCTTATTTTTCTTGTCAGCCAGTCCTGCCTCACTCACACAGTGCACCACCTTGCTGCGGGTCCTCTCCACCCAGCTGGCCATCTATGCCCTTCCTACCAGTTTAGATGAATGTTTCTGTATTTTCTTGGTTGTCAGAGTTCCATGCAGTTTGATGTTCTGGCAGTTTTGGTTGTTTCAACTGCATATGAACAGCAAATGAACAAATGTTGATAAAGGTGTAAAGTGATTAATATTATTACAGGAAAGAAAAAATAAATATGAGATGACTAACTGAAATAAAAATGATTTTCAGAGGGTGGAGTGAGGAGAAATAATAAGAGTAGAAAAGGAAAACAAGGCAAAGAGAGAAAGAAAAGAAAATTTACATCATAAAAAGGGGAAAGAAGAAGGCAGAATGTAGTGAGAGAAGGGAAGTGTGTAGTATTAGATTTAAACTAAAATTTAAAGAAAATATAGTGAAAAAAGGGAACTAAATTAGTGAAGATCCATCACAGCAATATCAACAACAAATGAGCAAGGATTAGTATAGGTGGAATGGGAATGAGAGGGAAAAAAGGAAGAAGAAAGAAAGAAAGAAAGAAAGAAAGAAAGAAAGAAAGAAAGAAAGAAAGAAAGAAAGAAAAGAAAGAAAGAAAGAAAAGCTTAAGAGATATTTAGAGGAAAGAGAAGTGATTTTGAGAAGATAGAGGGAGAAGAAATAATAAGATGGGGAATGAAAACCAGGCTAAGACAAACAAACATTAAAATTTAAAATGAGAAAAAGAAAGGGTAGGAGGAAGGCAAAGTGGATTAGGAGAGGGGAATGGTAAAATTTTAGATTTAAAATTTTTTTATTTTAATTGTTGTTCAAGTACAATTTTCTGCCTTTTACCCCCACCCCAGCCCACCCCCTCCAGAACTCCCCACCTCCCACCTGTTTCCACCCCACCTTGTTATTGTCCATGTGTCCTTTATGCTTATTTCTGCAAACCCTTCCCATTTTCCCCTGAAATCCCCTCCCCTCTCCCTTCTAGTCAAAAAATATGGAATACTTCACTAATTTGCATGTCAGCCTTGCACAGGGGCCATGCTAATCTTCTCTGTAGTGCTCCAATTTTAGTATATATGCTGCCGAAGCAAGCACAAAATTTGAGATTTGTAATAAAAAAAAATAGGACTTCTGGCCAAGATGGAGACATAGGTAGGCACACTGTGACTCCTTGCACAACCAAAAGAAGGACAACAACAATTTAAGAACAAAAAACAACCAGAACTGACAAAAAACTAAACTGTATGAAAGTCCAACAACCAAGGAGTTAAAGAAGAAATATCCATCAGACTGGTAGGAGGGGCAGAGAGAGAAAGCTGGGTGGAGAAGACTCAAAGCAAGGCGGTTGCTGGAAGACCTGGGTGGGGAAGGAGGCGGATTGTGGAGTGGGGCAGGCAAGGCTTCAGCTGGCTGGCAAGGCAGCAACTGGCAGACCCAGTGAGGCATTGGCTGGTGGAGCAAGCTGTCCCACATTCATGTGCAGATAAACCAGGAGGAACACTTGGGGAGTGAGACAGACCTTGAAAACCAGGGTCCCAGCTCGGGGAAATAGAGCCTTAAACCACTGATTGAAAATGCCTGTGAGGGTTGATACAGCAGTGGGAGAAACTCCCAGGCTCATAGAAGAATGCATTGGAGAGACTCACAGGGTCCTGGAATGTACACAAGCCAACCTACCTGGGAATCAGCACCAGAAGGGCCCACTTTCCTTGTGGGTAGCAGGGGAAGTGACTGAAATCTGGTAAAGAGCAGAGCAAGTGCCATTGTTTCCTCTTGGGCCCTTTCCCCACATATAGTGTCATGAAGCAGTGATGTGGGTTGCCCTGCCCTGGTGAATACTTAAGGCTCTGCTCCTTATATGTAGCAGGCATGAGGAGACAAAAAAGAAAAATGGTCCAAGTGAAAGAACAGATCAAAGCTCCAGAAAAATATACAACTAAGCGATGAAGAGGTAGCCAACCTATCAGATGCACAGTTCAAAACACTAGTAATCAGGAATCTCACAGAATTGGTTGAATTTGTTTGCAAATTAGATTAAAAAAAGAAGGCTATGCTAAGTGAAATAACTGAAAATGTACAGGGAACCAACACTAACAGGAACAAAACTGGGACTCAAATCAACAGTTTGGAGCGGAAGGAAGAAAGGAATATTCAACCAGAAAAGCATGAAGAAACAGAATTCAAAATTATGAGGAGAAGCTTAGAAACCTCCAGGACATTTTCAAATGATCCAACATCTGAATCATAGGGATACCAGAAGGAGAAGAGGAAGACCAACACATTGAAAACTTATTTGAACAAATAATGAAGGAGAACTTCCCCAATCTGGCAAAGAAAATAGACTTCAAGGAAATCCAGCAAGCTCAGAGAGTCCCAAAAAAGTTGGACCCAAGAAGGAACATACCAAGGCACATCATCATTATATTAGCCAAGATTAAAATGAAGGAGAGAATCCTAGAAGCAGCAAGAGATAAAGAGAGAGTCACCTACAAAGGAGTTCCCATAAGACTGTCAGCTGATTTAGAGACCTTACAGGCAAGAAGGGGCTGGAAAGAATATTCCAAGTCATGAAAGGCAAGGACCTACATCCAAGATTACTCTATCCATTCATTTAGAATGGAAGGTCAGATAAAGTACTTCTCAGATAAGGTGAAGTGAAAGGTGTTCATCATCACCAACCCCTTATTATATGAAATGTTAAAGGAAATTATCTATGTGAAAAAGAAGATAAAAATATGAACAGTAAAATGACAACAAACTCACAGTTATTAACAACTGAACCTAAAACAAAAACAAAAACACACTTGACAAACAACTAGAATAGGAACAAAACCTCAGAAATAGAAATCACATGGAAGATTTTCAACAGGGGAGTGGAAAGGGGAGAGAGGGGGGAAGAGGTACAGAGAATAAGTAGCATAAATGGTAGGTACATAATAGACAGGGGGAGGTTAAGAATAATATTGGACATGTAGGAGCCAAAGAACTTAAATATATGACACATGGACATGAAATAAAGAGGGGGATGTGTGTGGGAGGGGCTGTTCAGGGCAGAGGAGAATAAAGGGGGGGGAATGGGACAACTACGATAGCATAATCAATAAAATATATTAAAAATAGAAAAATAGTGTAGATCCAGAAATAAAACTGTAACAATGCAACAACAAGCACTGTATTCATAACCAACAGGGAAAGTTTGACAAAGGTTGAGAGAGAATAAGGGTATTTAAGAACTTGTGGGGATTTGGGATGTGGCAATGGAGTAGGAGGGAGCTGATTCCACCTCCCCCTACACATGGGAGAAAAACCTGTCCGATCTATGGAGGAACAGAGTAAACAGCCAACAGTACCCCAGCATATGTGAAAATAAGAGATTGAAAATTGTAGTGGACACTGAAAAAGCAGATAGTAAGGAGAGAGCTTCAGGATAATAAGGTACCAGGGACCAGTGCAGGGACTGGGTGCAGGGGGGAAGGGTGGTGGCTGTAGCACCAGGCTTGGTACTGGTGCTGGATCTACCACAAACTCTTTGGGAGTGGCAGGCCTGCCCTGGGATCCTTGGGAGAGAGCTGTGTCAACTGCTTCCTTTGTTTCAGGCCAAGCAGGGTTTGAACAGCACAAGGAGAGACCTGGCTGCTTGAAGTTGCAGAAAGGGGAATAAGGACAAAAAGGCAAACACATAAGGGCCATGATCACTCGTGGAGTCTGCTGTTGCTGGCTTGGGAGAGTTGAGAGTCATGCAGTGATGCACACTGACCCCGATAGTTATTGGTCTGGCTGGAGAATTTGACTATACTGAGAAACAGGTGTGAGTAGGGGGAATTTCTCAAAAAGTTAAACTGAATGGGGGTTTCTCCTGCAACAGCCACTCGGCCCACTCCACACCCAGTTGGGTAGCGATCCTGAGGTTGTGCAGAAGGTCCTGTGTTCCCCCATAGCACTGGGAAGGTTTCATACCCAAACTGGCAGGATGGAGGCAGCCTGGCCAAGCACAGGTGCCACACTCCAGCCTACAGCGATAACCCTGGGGAAAGAGCTCTGAAGAAGACCTGGATCCACCACCTAAGGCTCCAGGGAGAGCCTCTAGACTATTTCTTGGGAGAGTGCTGGCAAGACTGGCTGAGTACACACCGGGGAGGGAGAAAAGCCACACCAATTGCCCCTCAGCCTGCTGTGGTTAGCTAGACCAGAGAAACTGGCTTGGCCAGTTTGAAACCAACTAGAGGTGTTTTTTGTTTGTTTGTTTTTTTAAGTAACCTTTTATTTTTTAAATTTTTATTATTGTGTTTTCTTTAAACACCTATTTCTTCTCTTTCCTTCTTTCTTATTTTATTCCTTCTTCCTTTCTTTTCAATTTTATCCCTTCTTTATCCCTTCTCCTGCCTTTTTAAAAAATACCTACAAGTGAGACAAAAACTTGGAACTGTGAAAGGACCAGAGTTGGACCCAAAGTGGGGGCATCCCGACAGTTGAGACAGTGAGACAAATTTCACTTTGCTATTGCAGAGAAACTAGAAGTTAATGTATGTTTATATTATTATTTTCATTATTCTTACATCTTTTATTTTAGTAGTATTTTTGTATTTCTCTTCTTTCTGTATAGTCTTCTAAACTTGGCTCATTATATTTCATAATTTGACAGGTTTTCCCTGTTCTCTCTTCCACAGTGTATTGCGAATTTATGATCCTTCATGTCACTTGTGTTCCTTTAGCACACTACTCAAACTTCTATACCCCCTATTCTTGTTATTCAGATCACATAGATTCTGTCATATGATTGTTGCTCTAATATTATTGTAAATAATATCTGTTCCATACAATTATACATATTTGACAACACCCCTCCCAGATCCAAGCCCACTTCACAGTTTCCTGAACTCTATTATTGTAGTGGTTAACTCTATTCTCTCACAAACTATACCTATTTACTATCCTTTACTCTCGCCTTACTTTAGAATATGACATCCCACAACCTCACTGCTTTCTAGATTGAACTTACATTTTTTTTCTCCCAAGCAAGAGTCTTTCTTCTTTCCATCCTTTCTAAAAAGTGGCTAGTGGGGTTGAAGATTACAGTTAACACTATACATGGTCAAAGGATCTCCTATCTGTTCTCTACTTGCTGTGACTATAAATATCATAGAATACTCTCCTGCTGTCTTAAACAATTTTGCCCTCCCCTCCAACTGATCACAAAACAGAGTAGGTGGAAGCAGTGAACACCAGGATACCCACTGGAAGAGGAAACCCAGCAACAAAGGGAACCGCCAAGAGATAATAACAGAAGAAGGTAAAGAAGGTGATGGAAACCACACAAACCTCAATACAGGGCCTGTCTGGAAATACAATTAAATAGTGGACAAACTACCCAGTACAAACAACTGAACAAGAGCAAAAGAGAATCCTCAAAACCTTGTGCACACAGAAGAACCAGCTAGAACACAACCAGCCCTCACCAGCACAACATAATACAAGAGATGGTGGAAAGAGTGACTGTCAGTTAACCAGTTGATGGGAAGCACCCACCAAAGAAAGACCCCAAAACAATCAAAACCCAAAGACAGTCACAGAGGCAACTTAAAGAGCATCCCAAGACCAGTGAGCTCAGATCAAGGAGATGGCACCACTGAATCTCACAGGTCTTCTACCATAGAAGACCATACCATAAACCAAGTGAGATAGAACAGATCAATTTTAAAAGCAGAGGCTAACAAGGAGAGTCTCACAAACAATGGGAAGACAAAGAAACAATCCCCAAAGGAAAGGAAAGGAGGAAGCCTCAGAAAGAATGCTAAATAAAATAGAGGCAAGTCAAATATCAGATATTGAGTTCAAAGTGGTGGTTATCAGGAAGCTCAAAGAGCTCACAGAGAATTACCAGAAACTACAGGGGAACTACAATGAACTCACTGTGAACTATATCAACATGAAAAAGGAAATAGAAACCATCAACAAGGGCCAAGAGAAAATGAAAAATACAATTTCTGAACTGAAGAACACAGTGAAAGGAATCAAAAACAGGATGGATGAAGCAGATCAGACCAGTGAGTTGGAGAACAACGTATAAAGAAACACCCAGAAAAAGCAAGAAAAGG